AGAAGCAGTGTCTGATTCAAGAACGAACTGATTCTTTTCAATGAACCTTTTAAATCGGTTCGCAAATTGCACCAAACGATTCATTCACGAATTAGAATTAAACGATTGCAGCTGTTCTCGAGTCGACAACTCACTGATTTAAATGAACCATTTAGTGCGAGTTTTCGGTGAACTGAATTCACAAGTAAGAACCGGGAGATAGTGTGAGCGCATGCGCGACTGATGCTGCTAAATGTAAGTTACTAATGTCGAATTTTAGGATTAATTAGTGTAACTGAAAATCATATTTAGGTCAAAACTGTCAGTTGTTTGTGAACTAAATCTGCTGTAAAGGGTGATCTATTTAAGCCCACTGAAATGATTGAATGCAGACACATCAACATCTGTGTCTCTATTTTAGGTAAAAAAAAAACGCCGAAACATTCAAATAACAGACTAACGTTAAATAAAATAATTCATGCGCGTTCATATTCCCCGCTGCCGTAACGTTAACAGTTTTATTAAAATTCTACTCATTTAGCCCTATGTGACGTCTGTTTTTATATTGTTTATCAACAGTATACATGTTTACAATGGTTGGATTAACTAGCCGAGTAGACAGATATGAATGTTTATTCATAACCTTACTGAAAATAAGTAAATATTGTTAGCTGATGCTAACTGTCTAGCTAACAAGCTTGCTGGTGCTAAGTTGAGGTAATTTTTAGATATAAAGTCCAAATATTTTTATTCAACCACCTAGATAGGTTACATCTGCAACAGTATACATTTTTATATTGTTTGGATTAACTAGCGGAGTAGACAGATATGAATGTTTATTCATCATAACCATACTGAAAATAAGTAAATATTGTTAGCTGATGCTACCTGTCTAGCTAACAAGCTTGCTGGTGCTAAGTTGAGGTAATTTTTAGATATAAAGTCCAAATATTTGTATTCAACCACCTAAATAGATTACATCTGGGGGGAAAAGAAAGGCTGTGATGTTCAGAACATGGTAACTACAGTAATTATCCAAGTGGGAAGTGATGCCCTCTGGGGGCATTTGGCCAGGGGTGTTTTTACACCACAGACAAGGTTTGAGAAGAAAAAAATCATTATGAAAATATAATTATATTTTCCTTAAAATGTTCTTCCTAACTTCAGGCCTTATTCTCATGTCATATATAACTGTGATGTTCTGCAAAACAACAAGCTTTAAAACACTTTTTTCTTACTGGTGAAAATCAGATGGTCAAATCTGTTTTCTCTCAGGTACTTCGCAGTGTAAGCATCACTCTCGTCAATGTAGTCCATATCAACAACAAAAAATATATCTTGACTCCATATAGTGGTTATTTTGGGAAAATCCCAGGTATTTTGAGCAGTAGAATTATAAAAAATGTGCTAATATAAATTTAAATTAAGTAGCCTATATAAAATTGCAAAATAAATCTATCTATCAGTACTTTTTTACTTAAGTACATAAAAAATCGAGTACTTTTGTACTTTCACTCGAGTAAAATTGAAAAAGGAGTACTTTTACTTTTACTGGAGTCATATTTTATTATACGTATCTGTACTTTTACTCAAGTACTTGATTTGTGTACTTCGTCCACCACTGAATATTCTATTATAAGTCTCTGTTGAAATCAAAGACACTGCTGCGTCCGTGTCCAGTTCCATTTCAAGTGGCATTCCTTCAACGCCTGGTTTCACAATGATACTGGACTTTTCTCCTGGCTGTGACAGTATATACAGGGCTAAATCAGAGTCTGTTTCATCATCACTGGACACTACATCAGCATCAAGATGGTGTACACTTCCTTTTTTAACATAGCCTTTCCGCTTCATTTCTATATTATGAAATATAGAAAATATATGGGTCAAAGACTTCCCATTTTGGTGTCTGCATCAAATTACATTTACAAAAGTGACTTTATATACATAGAAAGCATATTTAATGCAAGTTAAGTGTCTCCTTTAAATTTATTTGAAAATGTATTTGAAAATAAAATGTCAAAATTGGTGAAATAACATATATTTATGTGTGTTTATGTAAATGAAACAACATATTTATTCTAACCTCTACTTATTAAAACATATAAAAGAAAAGGTGATCATACAACATTTTAATATATTTAAATGATTAAAATCTTCTTTTTGACAAACAAGTAAAACCTGAATGATAGGGCTGCACTTTGATCCTTAAATGCAGTCTTTTAATGTAATTCCTTGTTCTAAATATTGACAATATTTTTTGTTATATGAACTACTGTTGCACTAAATGACATTTTAGTAGATGTCTTCTGTAAACATGTATGGTTGTAATTTTTTGCTTTTTCAAACCCCTTTTCATCCTTGACCCATATATAGAAAATAAATACTACTTTTTACGCAATTTCATAAAAAATCAACAAGAATTAAACAATTATTCCAGATGAATCCATCATGACATTGATTAAAGATTAATTTACTATCAGTCATTTTTTAAAAACTGTTTTACTGCACTTCCTTTCTGTTACTTTAAGTTTCTCTAACAAAATGGTATAGGGCAGGTTAAAACTTGGTACCACATTACAAACCTTGCATGCCTGTTTTAGCTGAAACTTTGGACTGAGTTGCCCAAATCATAAACTTTTTACAAGTTATCTTATAAAAACAGGTACTTTGAGTAATGAATTGTTTAAAAAGGAACTCAAGATGATTTTACTCCAGATAGTATATTTTAAGATTCAAAAACCACAAGCAAATTTCAAAAGAGTAATTACCGTACATACCCAGTTAGTGACAAGCCAGTCAATGCACGAAAAATTAAATTAAAATGTACTTTCATTATTCCTGCTTTAGGTTTCTGTGTCTCTAATCATTTGGAGGACTGACTGTCAGTCAGACAGTCCTCCACATTATTATATGCATGACCAGGGAGGAGGGGGAAGGAGGGGGCAAGAGGGAGGGAGCTGTGATGACAAAAAGGTTTGCTGAGCACAGTAAGTTGTAGCCTACTTACGTTCAGTGTTCCTGTAGCTCAACTAGACAGGATGTGTGTATAGACTGAATATAATGTTTTTCAGATAACGGTTCCTGAGACTACACACAGTTTCTGGGATGATCACAACCTTGTTTTCAAAATGAAAGAGACTTTTTCTTCTTAAGAAAACAGTACTCATGCACCCTCACGTTGTTTCAAACCCATAAGGCTCATTTATTATTGTAACCATTTTTTTATACTCTCTGAATCAGGATATTTTGTTTAAAACACTATGCATTTACCTCAGCATACAGTAAATAACATTCTGAATAATGGACAAAACAAGGGTATATACTTAAGAGCAATTGATGCCAAAGATACATGAATTAAAGAGGAATTTCATCGCGTCACATTACTCGTAATTCAAGAGGTCAGTGTGCTGCTAAAAATACATAATCTGAGATGGGCACAGTCTGTTTAAAAACACTTTCATGTCATGTTTAATATTTTTTCTTTTTAGTTTCTCCCCTCAGAAGAAATTGCGCTTATCCAACCCATCAGCTGCTTTGAGGTTATTTCACCAGGAAGGCCAGATGTCACCGTTATACTATGAATAAGAAATTAAACCTTTTAGTTGATTCTATAAAAATGCATCTTAGTCTTTTTTAAAATATATATATATATAGAGAGAGAGAGAGAGAGAGAGGTAATACCTGGATACTGTAAAACATTGCTGTCCATTCAGTCAACTCATCCTCATTCTCACAGCAGAGATACCTTAAAGAAAAATATCCAGAGACAAAGTAAGATGGGCAGCAACATGGATAGGAGGTAGAATTTCAATTGATGCGAGTTAAATGTTCAAGAATACAGTATAACCAACTAGTAAAATATTTTAATTTGCAATAACATATAGGCAGAGGTAGCATGAATGAGTCTTTGGCACTTCTAAAAATAGACAAGAAGAGCTTATCTAGTGCAAACTACAAAGTCATTGTCTATGACAACAAAACAAGTCAGAACACTCTCACTGAGAATAAAAACATTGTTACAAGGCTGTGGGACAATTGGGCCATAATTATTATTTAGGGGTGCTTTTTAGGAAAAAAGATTGCAATTTTAAGAAAAACGTTTGTGGTATATTGCTTGCTATGTCTGCTAAATATTTGTGACTGTATTAGAGCTGCACGATTAATCGTTAAAATATCGCGAGCTCATTTCTAAATGACAACGATTCTCCCGTGTCTATTAAACCTTTGACAAAGTCTTACCGGATCATTCAAATCTGCGTTCGCACTGCCGCTGACACACAGAGAGCAGTTACCATGTTTGGTTAAGAAACAGCTTCACAAACAGTCTTTTCAACTACACAGTATTATTTCTGTCGTACAGTCATTCATAGTATTACGGAGCTCGGGAAGTCACCTGTAGGAGAAAAAAAAAACAATCCGTTGCGACGGTTTTGCAATCCGTCCCCTCAGTTTATTAACCGTACTCACGAATTCAAACTCTTATCGTTTTATTTTTTATTATTTAGAAAATTCAGGAAATTTTCTATTCTTCTTTTTAGCGTTTATTTTAGGCTATAAACCACAAGCGGAGGTGTTTTATCCTATTGGTGATTAATATAAAATAAACGCTAAAAAGAATACTATTTTGTGAGTGCGGATCATGGTCTCATAGGCGGAGCTGTGTTTGTGTACTATTCATTCTTAACATATTTCATTCATTCATTCACAGACTTATTTAGGTGATTTTATTATACTAAGCTTTTTCCCCCAGAGTTAGACGCATGCTTCACTGTTAAAGTTATTATTAAATATCTAGGCCTATTGTAACACTGCATTCAGTTAGAGAGCAAAGGAATGACAACATAACCGGTACATTATTGGTTTTGTATTGCTTTTTACCTTCT